AAAAATAAAATAAAATTAAGAAATTCGGGTCCTCACATAATAGCTTCTTTGATTTGTTGAAATCATCCCTCAAAAGTCTAATTGCCACATCATTCGTTGATGCATTTTCAACCAAAATTTTGTGAATTTTATGCTCGAAACCTCACTCATTCAGACACTTGAAAAATGAAGCTACAATCTCAACCCCTCTATGAAGTGGTTTTATGTTCATGAAATTGAGCACTTTTTTTTTGCAGCTTCCAATCTGAATCGATCTAATGACTGGTGATGACCATATACTCAATCTTTTGACTTTTCGATTTTCAAAGATCAGTTGTGATGCTTACTTTTTTCACTTTGCTCAACTTGTTCTTTAGCTTGTTCTTCTCAAGCTTATATACTTGCAGATAGTCATTTTTGGCTACTCCCCTAGTGATCTTTTGCCATTCGGGCATACCACATCTTTGCGTGATATTGAAATCTTCTTCCTCTAATATGGTGAAAGGATGATTGTGCATGACAAACCAATGTGCACTGCTTCTCTCATTTTCTCCACATCAAACTTGTTGGTATGTAAAACTGGAATAGTTGGAAATGCCTTATCAATTGGCTGGGAATTCAATTGTGTATTTTGCACAGCCTAAGATTTATTTTGCTCTATGGACATGAGTTTCATTGCCTTAGAATGCTAGTAGTTTGCTTTGATTTATCCAGGGAAAGTTTTTTCCTGCAGTGAGTGCAAATGGCATAATACTTGCCATTTTCCTCGAATTCATTGAAGTCATCCCAAGCTTCGGATGTTTTACTTCATTTTGGAATATGGAATTCATCTTCTTCATTCTACTAATTCTCATCTCCGTGTGCATGTTGCTAGTCTGTACTAACAGTAACAAGTTCATATACATTTCTTGAAGGAGTAGTTTGTGTGGTTTGATTAATCCTTTTGTTTCCTGGATTTGATGTTGTCTGATTGGAAATGCTTGCTGGACTGTCTAACATTAATGGGGTCGATGAATCACCAGTGGACGCCCATGGAATAAAAGAAACTTTAGGTGGACTCATGCTTTCAGTTTCCAAAACCAAAAAGGGAGAAAAAAATAAGCTTCTAAAAGACTAATCTTAATCCTAATTCCTAAGTGCAAATAGGTATTAGAACACTCCAGAAGAGCACTCGTTCACTCAATGTGGTCAATGAATCACCAACTTACAATTTACATTTTCAAACATTTCAAAATTGTAATAAACATACAGTCCAAAACACTCCTGCTTTAGTCTACATGTTCTAACTTAGGCCATCACATATACAATTCTTCCCACCTACCACATATTTCATATTCCACATTAAAACTCCTGTCAAACTCAAAAAGCATATCCTTTGTAAGACAACAATAATTAAAATTTGCAATGGCTACATACACTTTCCATATTTTAAGGCTCTCTTGTAGCATTTACAATAAAAAGAAACATTCTCCTAGAAGCATATACTTATCATGTCTAGAAAAATCAAAATTGCAAAGAAAAATCAAGAAGCTTATAGTTTACCCAAAAACAAAAGTTTGTGGTAGAAATGGTGATGCTCGCTGGTTGCAATTGCTTGACCCTGTGGCACAGCACTACTAGTACTTTGCATTGTCTTCACTTTTACTTCAACGGCTCTTCTTCAATTACAAATTTTTTTCAGATAAAATTAGGGGTTCCTATATTGTTATCCATTCACCAAAATTTAACTAATTTTAGTTAAACTACATGTCAATTGAAAGTACAGAGAAGGATTTGGGGTTTTACCCTGCGAATGGCGTGATTCAACGAAGATGAAAGCAAGAGAAGACAGGCGGACCGATGAAACGGTTTTTCGATAGAGGCAATGATTATTGTCTTCATATGAGGAGACTGGTGGAAACTAGAGCGCACATCTTGAATGAAGAAGAGAGAGACAAAAATCAAAGTAATGTGGCCAGAGATGAAGAGGTCATTGTGGAAGCCGGAGATGGACGCTAGCAGTGAGGGAAGGAAACGAAAGAGATTCTTTGTGATTTTTTTACTAAATTTTGGCACATTACTTTTTTAGTTTTTACAGTAATATACATTTCAAAGTAATTCTTATATAATTACAATATACCTTTTTGCCATTTAAGAATTTTACAAAGCATACAAGACATTGTGTAAATTATCTAAATTATAAACCCTTATTGGTCATTTCATAATTATAATTAATATATTATATAAATAATAATAAATACTCAAGCTATTCGACGAGCACAAAACAATGCTCGAACTAATTTTTTTTTGTCTAGTAACTTGAGTTCGAGTTCGAACTCAGACAACCGAAATCCGAACCGAGTGTTTGACTGAGTCGTTTGAGAACTATTTGCGAGCGGCTCAACTCATCATCAGGCCTAGTATTATCACAAAATATGGGAACATATTCAAATTTTAAATGAAAATCAAGCAAAGTATGTTTCGATCCATAACAATCTAGCACAACATATACCAGCGGCAATATATTTGACTTCCACTGTAAACAAAAAAAATAGCACCTTACTTTTACTAAATCAAAAAATCAAACAATCACCAAGAAAATGACATGTTCTACTAATACTTTTTCTATCTATTCTATATCAGGCAAAGTCAGGAACTAAAAAATCAATCAAATTGAAATTCTTAAATTTAGAATACCACAAGTCATAATTGAGACTCTTTAGGGTGTGATTGAAATCTAACACACAAGTAAATTACAAACATAATATTCGGTCTATTTGTGATTAAATAAAGTAAATTATCAATTATATCTCTATAGGAGTTTTCATCTATTTTGGTACCTTTTCCATTCTTGTCAAGTTTGGTTGAAGTGCACATTGGAATCCTTACTTGCTTTGAGTTTTCCATGCCAAACCTCTTGAGAAGTTCCTCTGTGTACTTCGCTTGGTTGATGAAAGTCCTTTCTTGAGTTTGGTGAATTTGCAACTCAAGGAAGAAGTTCATCTCCTCTATCATGCTCATCTCAAACTCCTTTTGCATATTGTTAGAAAACTCCTTGTATAAATACTCATTAGTGGCACCAAAGATAATATCATCCAGATAAAATTGAATAATTTGAAGATCATTCATGAAAAATTTTGTAAAAAGAGTGTGTCTACATCTCCTCTTTTAAAACCATTTTCAATGAAAAAAATCATTTAATCTTCTATACGCTTGCTTCAAGCCAAATGAAAACTTTGAAAGTTTAAAAACGTGATTTGAAAATTTTTCATTTTCAAAATCGGGGAGTTGTTAAATAAAAACTTTTTGATCAATAAAGCCATTTAAAAAGCACTTTGAACATTCATTTGAAACAAGTTAAGACCTTTAAAGCAAGTATAAGTAAGAAATATTCTAATGAATTCCAATCTAGTTGTGGAAGCAAATGTTTCATCAAAATCAATTCCTTTTTCTTAAGCATACCCTTTAACAACTAATCTAGCCTTATTTCTCACAATCTCACTCTTATCATCCAATTTATTTCTAAAAATCTATTTAGTTCCAATTACCAGATGATCTAAAGGCCTTTCTACTAAAATTCAAATATTATTTCTTTCAAATTTAGTTCAATTTGTCTTGCATGGTTAGAATTCAATTTTTATCCTTTAAAATCTCATTCATATTTTTAGATTCAAATGAAGAAATCAAAACTAAATTATCGAGTAAAGTTCTAGTAGTAGAACAAGTTTTTACTCTCTCAAATGGATCACCTATTATAACCTCTTTTGGATGATTTTGTACAAATTTTCAAGGTTTTGGAAGTTCCTTGGGGCCTCATCATCTTTCTTCTCTTCTCATTCTTCCACACTTTGAGAAGTGCTTCCTTTTAATGGATTTTCTTCATCTTGGATGGTCAACTTCTCAAGATCATATTGCAAATTTACATTATCATCTTTACAAACATTCTTTGTGACAACGTCATTAGATTCATCAAATGTAACATGGATAGTTTCTTCAATCACAAGAGTTCTTCTATTGCAAATTTTATAAATGCTTTTATCACTAGAATAATCTAAAAGAAATACTTTTATCTGTTTTCTTATCAAATTTGCCAAGATATTCATTGATGTTTAAAATAGAACATTTGCAATCAAATACTTTAAAATAACCAACAATTGACTTTTACCAAATAAAGTTCATAAGAAGTTTTATTCAAATGGCTACACAAAGATGGCCTTATTTACCTTCATGTATGCATGTTCCAAGACAACTTTGGGAAGATGCTAAGCAAGTTCTCAAATAACAAATTTATAAACGAGGTCACACTACAAGAAAGAAGAGATTGACAAAGAAATTCAATCTTCAGGCCCAAAAACCTCACAAAGGTATCATTTCTCACATTAGGCCAACTCCATACTAGAAACATCGATTGCATCAATTAATACAAAATTGCCAAATATCAAGGTAACAGTGTACAAGACATTAGAAATGATTGTTACATAATTTGATATTACAGACAAAAAAGTAAATGAGGTAACAACTATCACCAAACATCCCACCATACCTAAATTTAGCATTGTCCTCAATGATGTAAAGGAATTAACGAATGAGAAAACTCTCCTGAGAAACCGTAAATAGGTATGGTGAACATCGATGTGAACATGCAAACTGGAAAACCAAAAAAAATAAAACAAAATAACATCATAAGCTACCAAATCAGATGTTAGAAAACTACACCCCCAAAAATCCCAAAAACAAAAGAGTGAAAACCTGGTGAGCCCTTAAACTATTGCCGTTGTGAACTTTTGGCCACTCATCTAAAATTTGTTTCCGATTGGCCCTTAAACAATTAAAAATACATACTTTGAGGACTTCCGATGACTTTAAGCACAAATCTAACTGGATTTAAAGGGCATTTTTGTCCGTTCATGTTTGAATCCTCGGGACCAGCAACTAAAACAATATGAGCATCCTTTTATCACCAACTGCATCTTCTTCTTCTGTAAAAGAAAGAAAAATTAGGTTTTGTTACACGTATAACATTGGAAACAACGAGGTGAAAGATGCCAAGATCAAATCCAATACCTCCAATGTGTGGCTGCGGATTGAGCACCATTGTGAAAACGTCATGGACTCTACAGAATCCAGGTCGAAGATATGCGGAATGCCTGCTTGCTCAAGTAATGGATAGGAGTAATTTATTGAAGTTGTTAGTAATTGCTGTCAATAATTGCTATTTGTTATGAAATTGGGTTAGGGATGCAAGTATTGGAAATGGATAGATGAAGAAATGTGTCTGTGTTTAGTGGAGATTATACCTGAGTTGCTTCGGCGAATCAATCAAATGGAGAAACAGCTCAAAAATGCTAAAGAGTTTGCACAAAAGTGGGAGTGCAAAGCAGCAAAATTGCAGACAAAGGTTCAAAGGTTGGAAATTATGGTGCAACGACATGCATCAAGGGAAAGAAAGTTTGTTGTAGCTCTTGCAATCACCTACAGCTTTGTGTTAGCAGGATTTGCAGCCTGGGTGGTTGGAAATTTAGGGAATAGTGATCTATTGCAATTATCCTAGAAGGATGTATTATAAGCAAAGGAATGAAGAAAGTGGAACTGGAATGTAATGTACAAATATAGTTCGGGAGTGAATGGAAAAGCATATTTTGCTTTAATTGGACACAGAACGTATTGTGTTGTTGGTTAGATTTAATAGTCGCATTATATTGGTTTATTCTATTTTTGTGAGCAATGTACAGTTGGTGGAAAGGCATGTTTAACGTGTTCTTATGTAAAACTAGAATAGTGTAAAATTGGAAATAAAAATGATAGAGCACAGGGAAACCAAAGACCTTTTTGTGACGCCCCCACTTCTCCCTAAGGCGAACCAAAGGGTATCAGCGGGACGCCTGCCCAACTCTCGCTAGGACTCACTACGAGATGAATTCAAATTATGGATAATCAATCGATACTAAAAGTCGAAAATATAAAGAAAGGGTCGCTTCCTTAAAAATATACAAGTCTTACATCACAAGCTACCAAAAGTACATCAGCATTCCCCAAAATATACAATCTCCACAAGTCGTCTAAAATTTTACATTCAAAACCCTAAACAAAAGTTCATCAAGTTGGCTTCTCCATAATTCTTTCCATTTCAGCTCCTGTTAAGGAAAACAAAGCTAATGGAATCAGTTAATGCTCAGTGAGGTCAAGAAAAACATGCAACCACATAGTTCAAATAGCAATAGCACTTATACGAGAAATAAAGTTTTAACATTCAAGTAATTCACAATTTGAAATAAAACACATTCAATAAGGATACAGGAGCTCTCATGAACTAGTATCCACTTGCTTTGCCGAGTCTCGATTATATACCTCCACGTAATGACACTTCGTCAATCGAATAGGTATATTTAGTCTGTAGAACACTGCTTTACTTCACGAATGCCGTTCACCGTTACACCCCCTGTTCCGGGCCCACTCATCATTTAGAAGGCGATACTACTTGAGTATGCCGAACGAGATCTCTCAAATAGATCAAGCTTTACGAATATCTCATGGTTCACCAAGCTTCTCGACCAAGCCCATACCGGCTCGAGTCACAAGGTTAGCCTATGAGTTTGGGCGTCCCCCGAATACGAATATAAGTTGATGAGACAACGCTCTAATCTACGATCACAAATATGATTTACAACCACATCACTTCACAAGAGTCGAATATCAATTCACATAGCGAATTTCGATCATAATTTCATGTAAAAGAGAATGAGTGCGATAAAGTACGCACTCGTCTCGGCAATTCAAATTTACATAATTCACAAGAAGCAATTCACGTATTTAATAACAAATCATGCACTTGACACTTACCAAGTCAAAAGGTAAGTAAGTGAGCAAGTAAGCTTTTAGGCGTCTGTTCCGAGATTCTCTTGAGGATCCCCTTGAGCGCTTGAGCAAATAACGAGTAATTTTCACTCACAACCATGCATTAACCAAGAAAGAATGTACAGTTGTTTAGATTAAGTCAAAGTCTTAAAAGAGAACCTTAATTTTTTGAAAAGTGAGCAGTTAAAGTCCCAAGAGAGACTTGCCTCTTTCATGAAATCGAGTTTAAAACGGCCTATCGATATCAAAAGAAAGTGACAAGTTATTAAAAACTCGTTTCATGAGAAATCGGGAAATTTCAGGTTTAAGCGACAAAATTGAAAAAATCAAATCTTGAGTTTAACATGTCTAAAAATGGAAAACTTTATACCATTGGAATCTAGGTTCAGAGTATTAAAAGTTCCTAAAGACACTTTTCCAAGACTCTAAACGGAAAGCACTCATTTTTCAGCTCAAAATTTCAATTCCATGAAGACGGATTTGAACCAGTCTTGGTTTTCCAGCAATCTTTGGAAATTCGGCGTAATTCACAGAAAGTGAATCAGCTCTTGAAATTCGGAACACAATAAGAGTTCCAAACAAGATTTCAAACACGACAAACAGAACCAAATTCGGAGTTTTGAGCATCAACATATAACAGTTTAAAGTCGGTTGATTTTCACTACTTAAACAGTGAAATTCCAGATTTGAAGAGCAATCTTTGGTGTACTATTCGAGTATTAAAACGGTCTTGAAATTATACCAAATTTGGTACACTTAAGCTTCCATATGTGGACTATCTCTCTATCAAATTATAGGCAAAAAATCACGTGGGAAGGCAGTTAACACAACGACTAAAATTCATGAAATTTTCAAAGCAAATCTGCCAACCCACTCTTCCTTTCTTTCCAAAAGTTTGGTACAATGAAATCAGCCCCAAATCGATCCACTTTTGAAACCAAGGTTCTAGAAACATTTAATAAGCATTTGATAGGTAATTGGCATCAAAACTTTCGAAACAAATCATTCCAAAACAAACTTGACCATTCGGCTAGCAAGAAGGGAAAAACTTTCCAGTTTCCAGCTTTGTTGCACTTTCAAAATTAGACCACATCTCACTCAATATAAGTTCAAATTAAGAATGGTTTACGGTGTTGTAAACTAGGTTCAAAATGCTTCATTAGAAAGAGTCATTCCCAAAATCAGTTGACAAGTGAGAGAAAATTAAGCCACAAGATGCAGCTTCTCCATTCCTTTCGGATAGACAGTCACAACAAGACAGTCAATTTTGCTGAATCACTACAGTTCATTCAGTTCGAACTAGTAAGTGATTTTTATACCGTTAGAAAGCTATAAATATCTAGTTTCAAATGCCGTAAACGGCACTCAATTTTTACTTTTGTACAAAGAGATATATTCAGACAAATAACTACTATTTGGCCACACAGATCACCTATTCCAGATTTCTTTCTTTTCGAAAACCTTAGTTTTGAGCAACCAAACGATTATTGCAAGACACATTCTACACACAGTATATAACATATAACCATCAATTTCACAGCCAAACAAGCATCAAAATTTTGAATTAAAATTGAGCAACAATGGATAGATTTTTCGGCCAGCACACTAACCAAAATTTTCCAACTTTCTCTCATTTTTCTAACCGCAATCCTCTCATATAACACATAAACACAACAATCAAGCATTTTAATCCTCAAGGTAGCTACCTATAATCCATGTCAAGACCGCTAGCCTAAAAATTAAAGTGAGAAATGAAATTCCTCAAGTCTCCTAGCCTATTTTTTGCTTAGGGTTTCAAACCCATGCAAAACTAACCATGATTCTTGAAGAAAATGGAAAGACTAGAAGAGTTAAAGGTTTACCTCTAACCCTAGATGAAAAATCAGATTTTTCCACCACAAATTCTCCAAGAAATTCCACAAGATGTTGTCTTTCTCCAAGCTACAACTAATCTCCAAAGGTTTTGTGAGTTGGGTGAAGATTTTCAAGTGAAATGGAACAAGATTTGGTGCAAGATGAAGAGGGCTTTCTTCCCTTCTTTTCTCTTGAGGTTCAACCGAGCAAGGACAGGAGATAGAGAGTGTTTGGTTGTGTGAAGCTTACCTTGGAAGATTGGAGGGAAAAAGGAAACAAAAAGCTAGCCAAAGTCAACTTTGAATAGTAGATGAATAGTGTTTCGTACCACCACTTTTCTCTCTTGTTTGTTGCACTAGTGCACTAATCCTCCAATGTAATTCCTTTAATACTATAATTACTCACTCTTACGAGTCTAATATAAATTCCTAAAATTCTCCAATTAGTCGCGCAGCATGATTTTCGAGAAACTTTTGACGCGCGCGCGACAAAGCGAAATTTAAGAGCAATTCATGCAACGATAATATAATTAACTACTCTAGGGTAAATAATTATAAAAATGACTATTTTAAAAATAAAAACATGAGTCCTCACACTTTTTGATTAAATATCAACTGCCAACGTATAATTACATCATTAGTACGAAGAGCCAAGCCACTTAACTAACAAACAAAAGGTGGTCCTACTGCATGACATTGAAGAATAAACCAAAAAGACAAGTCATTTTCATGCTCGACATAACAAGAGACAAGTCATGTTCTACTCATCCAATTAGGAGCAAAAGTGAAAGCAAAAGCAAAAGGGCATTCAATACCATTGACTAGTCTACAAATTTATTAGTTAGTTGAATATGAAGGCACATGTCCTCTACCTCTTCCTTTTCCTCTTGCACCAACACCCTCACTTTGAGTTTGATTGACATTTCTTCTTCCTCCTGTGTCAGCAACTTCATCTTGATTTCGATTCCCACTTTCTCTTCCTCTTCCACCAGCACTCTCACTTTGATTCTGAGTACTATTTCTTGTGGCTCTACCTTTGCCCCGTCTTCCTTTCCATCTTCCTACAATAAAAGATGGCTGCTTTCCAAGATAAGTATAGTTGGAGTTTATCCAACCCTTTTCAGCATCAGTCAATGTATTGTTTTTCTTTGTCCCGGAGGCTTGATTCTTGGGTGATTGCCACTGCCTCTGCTGTTGTGTTGACTGATTGGAGGGTGGTGGCTGGTGTTGTTGTCCAGCCTGAGATGGCTGCTGTTGTTGGATGTTCTGTGATTCATTCTATTATTCGGTGAGCTGTCTAGATTACTGTCCCTGCTCTCTATTTGCATGAGAAGATTCAGGTACACCCTGCTTTGCACTGGAATTTCCTCTCCTTCCCTGAAAGTGTAAATTCAGCCAGATCAATACATGGATTAATGTACAAAGAATGTTAGTGAAAATTCAAATTTCATACTCGTTTGGACTATTGCTTTTCTAAATTTTGGCTTTGCTGTTGCTGCTCAGCCTTCTATCTTTTGAACAAGTTGCAACATTGTGGCCAGTCTCTAGTGCATCACAACTATCTTGCGTAGCTTGGTACCATTTCCCCTTTCCTTTCTTATATCCCTTCTTCTAGCCTTTTTTGGTCTCCAAGTTGTACACAAGTGATTGGAGGATCCATTTCCAAATCCTCAGAATTAGGCCAAAGTGAGACCCCACTAATTGGCTCCAAGACATTCTCATAAATTTTAGCAAACAACTCTCTTAAGTAGGACAGGGCTGTGAACTACATTGGATTTCCACTAGACACCAGCATTGTAGAAATGGCATGAATACATGGAATCCAACTTATCTCCCAAAGTTG